GGGAGGCTGAGGCAGAACTACTTAAACCCGGGAGGCAGAGGCTGCAGTGAGCCGAGATTGCGACACTGCACTCCCGCCTGGCGCCTGGCAACAGAACAAGACTGTCTGAAAAAAAAATTCAGCCTTCAAAAGGAATGAAGCAGGTTCACTTCCACAATCCCAGTGCTTTGGGGGGCCAAGGAGGGAGGATCACTTGAGCTCAGGAGCTCCAGAAAGCCCGGGCAACACAGTGAGACCTCATCTCTATTTTTACATCAAATTTAAGAGAAAAGAAAAAAAAAAGAGGACTGATGGCAAATATATGCTCCAAGATGGGTGAAGCTTAGAGACTGCAGAGAGCTTTGATCATGCACTCCAGCCTGGGCAACAGAGTGAGACTCAGTCTCTAAAAAGAACAACAACAAAGGGCTGGGTGCGGTAGCTCACACCTATAAACCCAGCACGTGGCCTGGCGCAGTGGCTCACGCCTGTAATCCTAGCACTTTGGGAGGCCGAGGTGGGTGGATCGCCTGAGGTCAGGAGTTCAACACCAGTCTGGCCATCATGGTGAAACCCCATTTAAAAAAAAAAATACCAGCCCTTTGGGAGACCAAGGCGGGGGGGATCACCTGAGGTTGGGAGTTCAAGACCGGCCTGACCAACATGGAGAAACCCCATTTCTACTAAAAATACAAAAAATTAGCCAGGCATGGTGGCACATGCCTGTAGTCCCAGCTACTCGGGAGGCTGAGGCAGGAGAATCGCTTGAACCCAGTAGGTGGAGGTTTCGCTGAGCTGAGATCGTGCCATTGCACTTCAGCCTGGGTGACAGAAGGCTCTGTTTCCAAAAAAAATAAAAAAAGGTATGAGCCACTGTGCCCAGCCCCAGTATGTGGCAGCAGCCTGAGCATAGGGGTGTCCAACCAACCAGAGACAGTGCCAGGAGCAAGCAGGAACGGCCCCGCCAGCCTGCAGAGGGGTGAGCAGCAGGCCAGTGAGCTCCCGACGGGTGTGTGCTGTGGGGTGAAGACCCGGGAGCCTCACCAGGCTTAGGGCCTGCGACAGCTGCTGCAGGGCCTCCTGTGCCCTCTGCCTGGTGGCCCGAAGCTTGCCCAGCGAGTGCTCGTAGGCGTGCTGCCGCAGCCTCTCTGACAGGGAGCCCAGACGCACGAAGTAGCTCTGTTCCTGCCGCTGCTGCTGCACGGACGCGATGTCGAAGCCATCCAGGGACGTGGCGAGGCGGGCTGTGGGGAAGAACAGCAGGGTCTCCGTGAACCCCAGGACATGCAGCTGGGCTTGTCCCACGTGGGCGGTCCCAGGAATCACACTGTCCAGTTTATTCATTTATTTACTTATTGAGACACAGTTTCGCTCTTGTTGCCCAGGCTGGAATCATACTGTCCAGCTGATTGATTGATTGAGATGGAATTTTGCTCGTCTCCCAGGCTGGAGGGCAATGGCGCAAACTCGGCTCACCGCAACCTCTGCCTCCTGGGTTCAAATGATTCTCCTGCCTCGGCCTCCCGAGTGGCTGGGATTACAGGCGCGCGCCACCATGGCCGGCTAATTTTGTATTTTTAGTAGAGATGGGGTTTCTCCATGTTGGTCAGGCTGGTCTCAAACTCCCAGCCTCAGGTGATCTGCCCACCTCAGCCTCCCAAAGTGCTGGGATTACAGGCGTGAGCCAGAGCCCGGCCTACTTTTTTTTTTTTTTTTTTTAAGACAGAGTCTCGCTCTGTCGCCCAGGCTGGAGTGCAGTGGCACGATCTCAGTTCACTGCTACCTCCGCCTCCCAGGTTTAAATGATTCTCCTGCCTCAGCCTCCTGAGTAGCTGGAATCACAGGTGGCCAATTTTTGTATTTTTAGTAGACACATGGGGTTTTACCATCTTGGCCAGGCTGGTCTTGAACTCCCGACCTCATGATCCACTCAACTAGGCCTCCCGAAGTGCTGGGATTACAGGCGTAAGCCACCGCGCCCGGCCCGCCTATTTTTTTTTTTAAGATAGAGTCACTCTGTCGCCCAGGCTGGAGTGCAGTGGCTCTATCTTGGTTCACCGCAACCTCCACCTCCCGGGTTCAAATGATTCTCCTGCCTCAGCCTCCTGAGTAGCTGGGATTACAGGTGGGCACCACCACATCCAGCTAGTTTTTGACTTTTTAGTAGACAGGGTTTCACCACGTTGGCCAGGCTGGTCTCAAACTCCTGACCTTAAGTGATCTGCCCACCTCAGCCTCCCACAGTGTTGGGATTACAGGTGTTAGCCACCGTACTGTGCTGATATCCTAAGTTTCTTATTTGCAAAAATCCCAATCCTGGCACTGTGGGGGACAAGGCAGTAGGATGCCTCCAGCCTAGGAGTTCTTGACGACACAGGGAGACCCCATCTTTTTATTTTTTATTTTTTAAAGACGAGGTTTCCGCCGGGCGCAGTGCCTCAAGCCTGTAATCCCAGCACTTTGGGAGGCCGAGGCGGGCGGATCACGAGGTCAAGAGATTGAGACCATCCTGGCCAACATGGTGAAACCCCGTCTCTACTAAAAATACAAAAATTAGCTGGGCGTGGTGGCGTGCGCCTGTAATCCCAGCTACTCGGGAGGCTGAGGCAGGAGAATTGCTTGAACCTGGGAGGCGGAGGTTGCAGTGAGCCGAGATTGTGCCACTGCCCTCCAGCTTGGCGCCTGGCAACAGAGTGAGACTCTGTCTACAAAATAAATAAATAAATAAATAAAGACGGGGTTTCACCATGTTGGTCAGGCTGATCTTGAACTCCCGACCTCAGGTGATCCTCCCGCCTTGGCCTCCAAAGTGCTTAGATTACAGGCGTGGGCCACCACGCTCGGCCTGGAGACCCCATCTTTACAAAAAATTAAATAAAGAAAAATTAGTTGGGAATGATGGTGTGTGTCTGTAGTCTCTGTTACTCAGGTGGCTGAGGTAGGAGGCTTGCCTGAGCCCAAGAGTCCCGGCTACACTGAGCTATGACTGCAACACTGCACTCCAGCCTGGGCAACAGAGTCAGATGCTATCTCTAAAAGAGAAAAACAAAAAAATGTGCCCGGGCTTGGTAGCTCATGCCTGTCATCCCAGCACTTTGAGAGGCTGAGTTGGGTGGATCACGAGGTCAGGAGTTCAAGACCAGCCTGGCCAACAGGGTGAAACCCCAACTGCACTAAAAATACAAAAATTAGCTGCCTGTGATTCCAGCTACTTGGGAGGCTGAGGCAGGAGAATTGCTTGAACCCGGGAGGCGGAGGTTGCAGTGAGCTGATATCGCACCACTGCACTCCAGCCTGGGTGACAGAGCGAGACTCCGTCTCAAAAAAAAAAAAAAAAAAGAAAAATGTTTGCTACCCCTGGCCTATGGGGAAGTGATTTTGTCAGTAAGCCTCAATTTCCCCTTTTGTACACCAACCCTAGTCAGAGCTGCCTGAAAGGTGATATTTGGAATAGTTTGTACCCAGAAAGTTACACAATAAATGCTTCACTCTTTCATTATGTATTTATAGCAGATGATAGAGCTTTCAATTTATAGTAACGATCAGGTTTCATCTCTAAACGAATCCAGAAAAGTTGATCTAAAGAAGAATATCAGGCCAGGCATGGTGGCTCACACCTGTAATCCCAACACTTTGGGAGGCCCAGGCGGGCGGATGGCTTGAGGCCAGGAGTTCAAGACCAGCCTGGCCAACATGGTAAAACCTCGTCTTTACTAAAACTACAAAAATTAGCCAGGCATGGTTGTATACACCTGTAATCCCAGCGACTCGGGAGGCTGAGGCACGAGAATCTCTTAAATCTGGGAGGCGAAGGTTGCAGTGAGCCTAGAGTGTGACACTGCCCTTCACCCTGGGTGACAGAGCGAGACTTCATCTCAAAAAAATAATAATAAATACACACATAAATAATAACAATAATGAAGAAGAATATCAGGCCAGGCATGGCGGCTCATGCCTGTAATTCCAACACTCTGGAAGGCCAAAGTAGGTCCTTGGCTTGAGCTCAGGAGTTTCAGGCCAGCCTGGGCAACATAGCAAGGCCCTGTCCCTACAAAAAATTCTAAAAAATCTATTTGAGGCCAGGTGCGGTGGTTCATGCCTGTAATCCCAGCACTTTGGGAGGCCAAGGAAGGCAGAGCACATGGCCAAGAGATCAAGACCATCCTGGCCAACATGGTGAAACCTCGTCTTTACCAAAAATATAAAAATTAACCGGATGTGGTGGCTCATGCCTGTAGTCCCAGCTACTCGGGAGGCTGAGGCAGGAGACTGAGGAACTCAGGAACCCGGGAGGTGGAGATTGCGTGAGCCAAGATGACGCCATGGCACTCCAGCCTGGCGACAGATCAAGGCCGTCTCAAAAATAAAAATAAAAATTAAAAAAATTTTAATTTGTTTTAAATTAGCCAGGCATGGAGGTGTACACCTACTTTGGAAACTGAGGCGGGAGGATCCCTGGAGATGGAGGCTGCAGTGAGCTATGATCACACCACTGCATGCCAGCCTGGGTGACAGAACAAGACTCCATCTCAAAAATAAAATAAAATAAAATAAGGAAAGAGTGCAGGCAGTGCAGGTATATGACCGAGATGATTGCAGATATTCTGGACTGGCAGGAACACCAGGGTTGTCATAGTGAAGTGACATCTCAAGATTAGTCACATATTTATGGGGGAGCAGAGAGAGCGAAGGGGGAAGAGGAGGGCAGGGGAGGACAGGGCAGGTTCTGCAGGGCCTGTGGGCTGTGAGGAGGACTTGGGTTTTGACCCCAAGGGAGGTGGGAGCCACGGGGGGCTGTGGGCAGAGGAGGGACAGGCTCTGACTCGGGTGCTCACAGGCGCCCTCTGCTGGCTGCTGTGGGAAGGAGACTGTGGTGGGGGAGGGCAGGGGCTGGGGACCAGGACAGAGGGGACCCCCATGCTGCTGATGAGATTCCAAGATGACGGGAGGGGTGGCAGGGATGAGGTGGCAGTGAGGGACAGACCCAAGGCCGACAGTGGCTTCAGGTTGGGGAGGCCCGGGGAGAGGTCCCAGAGCAGCCCGGTGGCCACGCTCACCCAGCTCGGCGTCCGTGAGAGGCAGGTGGTTGTCTACCCACTCCTCTGACTTCCCCAGCACTGTGTCGACCCCACTCAGCACCATCTGGCCCACACGGGAGCCCATGACCGACTGGACCCCGCCGGTCACTACGGACTTGGTCTTGTCCACGCCGCTCTGCACAGCACCACAGGTGGCACCCACCGCCTCCGACACTCGGGTGCTCACTGTGTCCTTGGCGCTGGCCACCATCTCTCGGGCCCCCGACACCTTGGACGTCACAAGCTCCTTGGTGTCCGCCAGGACCTAGGAGAGACGACACCATCAGCGTCTCTGCCTTCCCGCCACACGTAGGCACCCCCCTGCTGTACCCCAACCTCTAGGGAGATGGAGGCAGGAAGCACCATCCCCCTGGGTGGCTCTGAGTCTGGAGTCATGGTCATGAGCTCATATTCTACAGCCAGACTACTGAGGCTGTGTCCCTGGCTTGCTGCTTCTCTGCTGGGTGGCTTCAGGCAAGGCACTCTACCTCTCTGTGCCTAGTTTCTTTTTTCTTTTTTTTGAGATAAGGTCTCACTCTGTTACCCAGGCTGGAATGCAGCGACACGATCTTGGCTCATTGCAACCTCTGCCTCCTGGGTTAGAGCCCTTCCCCTGCCTCAGCCTTCCGAGTAGCTGGGATTACAGACACCCGCCACTATGCCTGGCGAATTTTTCTTTGTTTTTTTGAGGCAGAGTTTCACTCTTGTTGTCCAGGCTGGAGTGCAATGGTGCCATCTCGGCTCACTGCAACTTCCACCTCCCAGGTTCAAGCGATTCTCCCGCCTCAGCCTCCCGAGTAGCTGGGTTACAGGCCCGCACCACCATGCCCAGCTAATTTTGTATTTTTAGTAGACACAGGCTTGCACTGTGTTGGCCAGGCTGGTCTCGAACTCCTGACCTAAAGTGATCTGCCCGCCTCAGCCTCCCAAAGTGCAGGGATTATAGGCAGAAGCCCCCACACCCAGCCTGGGTTTTGTTTTTTTGTTTGTTTGTTTGTTTTTAATTTAACTGTGTTGGTTTGGGTTTTTTTTGTTTGTTTTGAGACTGAGCCTCACTCTGTTGCCCAGGCTGG